AGTCCAAGGTAACCTACTGAGTCCGTCTGAGGAATTGGTTGTAAACTGGTGGGCACGTGTTTCGTGCAAGTGCGAATTATGCTGTGGTATAACCTAATTTTGCAAAGTAAAAATATTTTTATTTTATTTTTTGTTATAATTTATTTTTTGTTTATTCAATTTACAAAAATAAAATGCACTTTGAAAAATGTTCACACCTTGACAATTTGTTTTTAACCTCATGCCTGTTGGGGATACCAATAACCAACGAACGTGTTGTTAGGAAAAAGAGGATGGATTAAGACAGTGGTAGGCGTGGGGAAAAAAGTGCCCCGTAGCGTTCCTTCCTTACTTGAGTTTATGTTTATAGTTGGTGGAGGAGATCCCTGGTCCAGCTTATTTTGAGTCTCCTACGGATGCCATCGGACATGCTGGTTGTGACCAGGCCTTGAATAAGTGAGTTGGTATGTTGTGTAAGTTATCGTGAAGTCTTTTGTAGTATGTTCGTAAGTGGTCGTAAACTGTTCGTATCTGTAGGTCTTTGTGTAAAGTAACGTTACTGAGTACAAAGGAGTCTCGAGTGATAGCCCTGAAGATTTTTGATTGAAAAGTCTATAGTTTACGTATTTGAGTATTTTTGGCAGTCCTGTATATCTTTGATGTATAGATCCAAATGCGATTAAGTATGGGTGTATTTATTCAATTCTTTACTAAGTTTTAATTTCGAACGTCTTAGACCTTCGAAAACCTTGGCAATTTAATTTAAGCAAGTAAGAAATTTCTTAATTGATGAAGGGCAATCGTACACACGCATATTTGTGGTGCGTATGTCGCAGTAAATATTTTAGATTTAGTAGTTATACCTTTTTTGTTATCTCCCTTTCCTCCCAACCAAAAAAACTGGCATTGGTATTATATGGCACTGATTTTTTTTGTTTGGGGTGACATTAAACAAAAAGTCTATGCAAGTCCGGTCAATGACATTAATTCCTTACGAAGAACGATAATTGAATCTTGTGAAACAATAAGACATATCCAGTGCCGTTCTGCAACTGCTGCTGTTGAAGAAAGACGCTGAGCTTGTTTTAATTCTCAAGGAAATCACCTTGAACAACATTTAATATGAATGCTAATGTTTACATATAATTAATAAAGTAGTTAGAACAAATAAATAGATTTCATTTATTTCATATAACGTAGGTAATTCATTACAACAGAAATCTTTAGGTGTGAATACCTCCTAAACAAAGCGTTTGCGGACATACCTTCAGAGAAATTTTTATTTGTTTTGAAGCCCTTAATTAATGTTTGCAGTTTGGCCAATTAACCCTGAAACACCCTTTATAATGATAGAGTCAAGAATCTAAATATCTTTATATATCATATACCACATGCTTTCGCATGCACAAGCGCCTATGCGAATAACTAATCCGGTGGCTGAAAACTGGTGCTGTCGTTTCCTTGTTCCAACGAGCCCCCGACACTTATGAGTAGTAATAGGGGTTTGACCATTCCGCACAACCCAACTGTCTTGCGGAATGTGTATCACTAAGCGCCTTACCAGTGTCAACCGTAACGTTTAACACTGGTGTAAAAGGGTAAAAAAACGCTAAAAACTCCGGGAAAACTTTGAATTTAGGTATCTGAAAAACTTTTTTGTAGCATGTTGGGCCTTCTGAATCGATAAATACTAAAACCATGTCGGTAATAATAACCGTTATTATGATTGTTATTTCACCAATAAATAAAATATAACAATTCAGTAATAAAAATAAAAATTTAATTTAATTTTATTAGCTTCAATACAGAATCAATTATAAATACCATGTCCCTATATTATTGCTACTAAGAGAACATAGAAAGACTGGAAAAACTGTGATAAGAGAACCAAAACAATCGTCCTACAAGGAAATGAAGATGATACAAAATACAATATAATGTAGAGCTAAAATGAATATCCCAATACCAATTTAGAGCCACAAATTTAGTTTGATTTTCTCTTGAATGTATTTTTCTGCATTTTCCTTGATTCTATATTTTCGTATGAAAGGGAGTAATCAATTATATTATGTGCAAATTTATTTGAGTCTAGATAGAATTTTTATCAACCGGATAAATGAAAGGATAGTACCAAATAGCCAAGTACTAATGAAACAGGATCGTTTGAGTACTGAACATTTTAATTACTAATTCATTTGGTATTTAATGACCTTCAGTAACGATTTATCACTAATAGTGATTAAATGTGAGTAAACTATATAGTACTCTGTAATTATAGCATATCTTGTCTATTTCTGGTTCATAGGCGTTTATGTTATATAATATTAAAAATATCATAAAATTTTAATCACATTAGTAAAAAAGATATGTTTTTCTATTTAATTTTTCAATTCCTACTTGCCCATTAACAGAAACAAGAGGTTTATTTCGGATGTTAGCAGTATCCGACCTAATCTACCATTATCTTACAATTGCAACCTAATCTTACAATGGATTCCGAAATTGTTATTTTATGAATCACTCTGTTTACGATTATACAATCTTTCTGATTATAGAGGTTATTAATAATACAAAGGCTGATTATGTTTATCTCATGTGCAATGTTCTTTTTATGTAAGAGTCATAACATGTTTGTATACTATGTATTTCTAGATAGTAAGATGATCTTGTAATCAATAATTTGTAGTATATTTGAATAGACAATTAAAGATTTTTTTAAGGAACGAAAACGGCTGTCGAAATTCTTATTTTTCAATTAGTTCTAGTTACTTTTTTTTTATACAGAGATTCGAAATTGGTGACTTTTCCTATCATTCTTGAAATGTTCAACTCTGTAGCAACTGTACTTGATTATTTAAACTGTTATACCACATACTCCACTAAAATTGTGTTTCTTGAAATTCGACGAAGATACATTTTTTATTTATTTATTTCTTATCAGAGAACTTAATACATTAGTATTTATGTTATTCTTTGTAGTAAGGTGATGTTTACAATTCATCTCTTACAAGTATCTTCGTTGTTATTGCCAATATACTTGTGAGGGACTATGCTCCATAGATATGAGTCGGATTAAGATCGGATTCATATATCACTGTTAGGAGTGGAGAGATAGACCAAGGGATAGTGACGGGTGGCTTAATCTAAACAACTTGATCTACAACAACTTGATCTGACATGGGGAGGTTACGGACATGAGGTCACCGAAATCAATGAAATCTTTTTTGGTGGGACTAGGTCGAAAAATATTAGACCCATGTACAAAGATTCTTGCCAATACTCTCTAGAAAACCAAAAAAAACATTAATTTTTTTTATTACTGTTTTCTGACTTTGATCTACCTGTATTTCTAAGTTATTATATATCGTTCGATTTTTTTTCTAGGGTAATAGAAAGGATTGAAAGGAACCCTCGTACATGGGTCTAATAATTTTCGATCTAATATCACTAAAAAATTCCATTGAAATCGGTGACCTCATATACATAACTCCTCCTTAAGAATAGGATCACTAAAACATTTCTATAAAAATCGGTGTGGGACACACCTTGCCTTCAGTTGAAAATATGTACATAAGGACGCTTTACAAACTATTCCATACTAATTTAAACGGACATACTAACAAACTAATAAGGGATATGGTTTCAGCTGACATACCCATCAATCCGAGGAGGAAATTGAAAAGGCACTGGATAAGAAACCACGAACCATGTTAATTGAAGAGGTGCTATCCATCCCCATGTCTGATATGTCAGTTTATTAATTTTATCATACGACCTGCTGATTGTCAACAGTTCGTCGATAGGTGCATATAAATATTTGAAGATAAAAAAAATACATTTGCAGTATTTTCCAGTCAATAATAATTTATTCATAAACTAGAAATAAAAATGTTTGACTGACTGGTTGATGACTGATGACTCCTATTAGAGGATAGGGAATTTACAAGTGCGTTCCATACCGCTCTTTTTGCTGCAATCATTTTTGCTTCTGGCCAAGTCTTGCCTGTCCGGCTCAGGTCATTTTGAACAGATCTATGCCATAACTCTCTAGGTATTCCTCTTCTTCTTGTTCCTTGTGGATTCCATTGCAAAGCTTCTTTCTTCTGGATGAGAGATCTTATCCACTAATTATAAAAATTAAAATCAAGATAGGAAGAGATTCCGCTGGACTCTCTTCTCCATACGCCTACCAATGACGTTCTCCAACTCTACTTCCCAACAGCACATTAACATCGTGACAGCTGATTATCGGTACTTCAGACAGGTGTGATTTAAAAATAAAGTTAAAATTGCTAGTTTATTAGTTCATTTCTTTTGGTTTATTATTTTCAATAATAAACATCTCATAAACCATTGTTCAATTTTTTTTTAAAGTTTACGGAATTTCCTAAAAAATCAAAAAAAAAATCGTTAAAATCGGACAATTAGGAGCAAAGATATGGTATCCAGTTTTTTTTTTTTTTTATGTGTTCTACTCCAAATGTTATATCCTTTGTTCGGTTTTTAAATTTTGAATGTGTTACTGAAGTAATGCAACTTTTTTTTTAGCATATTACTAATGATTAAAAAAAAAGTTTAGTCCAATAATTGGTATCACCTTTTATTAATTTGTCTTTGTAACTAGGTAGGAAATGTTACTTTAGATGCATTTGGAAATAATAAACCATTGTGAAATAATTTGCAGCAATTTTTTAAAAAAATTATCTAAGACAAATGCTAATACACCTCGGAAAGCGTTTGATACTTTCTGAAAAAATTGCCCATATACATAATGCAACTAATTAAGTAAATAATTAAAATCATATTACAATATAAAGGAGATGACGTATGAGTACTTTAAAGAGTTGGAATTTTCAATCTTGAATTTGACTTGTCTAATGAAGAAGACTCCAGGTTCATCCATTTAACATAGATCACCAACCGTCAGGTAAGAAAGAAGATGGATGAGAGAATAACACCAAAGTAATTTACTCCATCTAGACAAAGTATATATTATCCCCACTATATCGATTCTCCCTAACCTATTTTCTTGCTCTTTCATGTAGTTGCGGAATAATGTTTTCCATCCAGGTACGTTTTCTCTTAAAACCAACAGTTCTGCAAATATTGTTATAAATGTAATATCTTTAAATAAATTTTGTAATTATTCTTAATAGTATAAATGGTTCTGATCAGGTGCTAATAAGACACTTAATTTCGGTTATTTTTATAAAAATAATATTGCTAAACATAATAAAATTTTAAAATTATGTTATACTTTTATGATATGTTTGCTTATAAAAACAATATTTTATAGTTCTCTGAAGTTAATTTTTCTAATAATTCTTTTTTAAGCATTAATTTTTTCATAATAATAAATTATATTCTGTCAAAACTTCATTATACATTGTGCTAGAAGAGATCTGGCTTATTAAATAATTTATATAAGATCTTATTTCAGATCAATATGATTAGAAGAGTTGTTTTATATACACATAATAAAAAATTAAGGTGGATTGAATTTTTCAATATTTAAAATAATTTAAATATTATGCAATTTCATTAAGTAATTTATTTTAGTGTCAGCAGTCTTAAATAATAACTACCAAAGTCACAAAATTTTCAGGGAATTTTTTTAGTAAATATTTATTTGTAATAATAATTTTAAATTATAAACCAAAGAAATAATGCCGCTGCTACAACAATTTATAAGCTGTGCATAATAATCTAAATTTATATGTAATAATATTGTTTCCTTTCTTGAAGTTGACTTTTCTTTGCATTACCACCGGCAGCTTTAGCAATATTTACATTTATTTTTGCACATGATTAAAAGCATGTTTTAGACTTTTCAATATTCAGTTTTATCATTTATATTATTATTTGACTGCATTACAGTGCCTGTGTCAAAAATCTTCATTGCATATTTATCTAACTATTATGTAAATAAAATTTAACTCATGAATATTTATTTAAATTTTTTTTTGCAGAATGAGTTTTAAAAAAGCTTACCAAAAGCTCATGAACTCATAATATGGTACTCTAACTTTAAATTTTAAATGAATTTTTTTCTGAAATATTAAATTTAATGTATTTAATTTGTATTAAACAAGTGTATGTATGTACGTTATTAAATATAAAGAAAGTATATTGGTACTCTTCATTTTTTAAGTAAGTTTTGAAGTTGTATAGAACAATATTCAATTTTTGATAATATTTAAAATTTTAATTCAGAGGGTACTAGAAGTTTATTAATATAAGTCAAAGTACTAAAACATTTATAGTATATAATAAAAGATCATAACATTTTGTCATTATTTGACTAGATCACTTAGTCCAATATCAAGTCAAGTATAATATAATATAATAATTTCAGCCAAAAGTGTAATATTATCTAACTTTTAACTGAAAGGGATTTCGTCAATTGTAATTTTAGTATTTATTAAATAAAATAGTTTTATTCAGTCCCAATAAATTTCAAATATAGAGATTATTTTTAGAATTGTATTTATCAGAAATTTTATTGTTTCTCAATATAGGCCATATTTATTGAGGTTAGAGCTAGGAGGTATAGTGAATAAATATAATATCGATCTAAGTTGTTTTTTTCTAATACATAAAGGTTAAATATTTATCAAAAAATAGGTTAGAATAATTACTAAAAACAGCATCACATTTTTGTGACTTTTATAAATAATTAAATTTTAAGTATTATAACTGTTTTTATTCATACCACTACTTAAATATTTTCTTCACGTAAATATTATTATTTTATGTTCTATAACATATGCGCACATTATTTAATCTTTATGAAAATTAAACTCTTGTTAAATTTATAATTGAATAAAGAATTATTGGGAAAACGTAGTTGAGTATCCAGAAAGGCGTTTGCTGATACCTCTCTTTCAAGACAGTCGGGTAATGCGGTATAGTCTATGCTGCCACTTTTACTGGCAGTATATTTCATGAGTTCCTTGGGGATTATTATGTATGCCTCCCAAACTTAAGTAGGGTTGTATTCCAAAAAGCTGAACAAGTATTTAATTATTAGTGTTATGGTTAATGTCATCCAAATTGTATTGTATGTAAAACCTGAAGTTGCCATAAACGTCATTGTGTTTACATTTAACTACCATGTATTCAAAAGAATTTCATTTTTTTATAGTATTTAAACATAGTTGCAATGTTGAAATGGTAAAGGTATCTCATATGTAATAGTAATGTAGCTATTGCTGACAGAAATCAGTTCTCCTCCATTTGTCCTAGTTATTGTATTTTGTTTTGATATAGAAAGCTCTCATGAACACTTTCAGGTTATTCTTGAGTATTGGTCTAGTAGTGTATTAAGAACGAACTTGGTCGATCAGTTCACAAACCTACCGCCAATTTATAGGAAACTGGAAAATAAAAATAAAATCAATAGACCAAGAGTGCGTGTGTATTTTCTGTATTTACCTTTCTACGCCCCTTTGTGCGAAAGGGATGAAGATTTGGGATAAGGAAAGGATAAGATAAGAAGCGGTGGAAGAAAGGAATAAGGAAATGTGGGTAAGGGAGAGGTGGAGGTTGCAGGCACCGCCCTACCGCCTCAGGGTGAGGCCAGTGTACTCACCTTTACCTATCTGTCACCGACCAAAATGGTGGTTCCTTTCCTATCACTCTCATCTCCAATTATATCCTAGTCAATTCAAAGTAATGGGAAAGATTGCTAGCTATAGTTAGCCAGCATCTAGGGCGCCCGTCCCAGTTTGGGTGTAGCTAAACATGGAGGTCTGATGAAGGTTCGGTATTTGTGTCATAGTTTTCTGCTAGTCGAATCAGGATTTGGAATATTATATGATTATCAATTCGTGGTTGACTTCTAATTACGATTGTCTAAATGTATCGACTCATCGAAAGTTTATTAAGTATGATTAAACTATGACTACTTGCACTGTTATTTCTACGAATTTGAATGATGTGTTGGTAGAATTTTTGTGATTTGGCAGTATCATTATTATTCCTATTTGACAGCTGGTTTGTGATTGTATAATTAAAATTAGCACATTGTGTCTTGGTGTATGTTTTGTATTTTTTTGGTCTTTTCAAAGGGATTTTTGTAAGATTGTCTACTTTTTTCTGAGATAAGCATTGAACCGTCACTGCGGACCTTTCTTTTCGGTACCAATTGACATTACTTCGTGCATCCAGACAAGATACTCATGTAATAATATGGAATAGATAAGTACTATTACTATAAGAGGTACTTACGCTGCCTGCGCGAAGGGCTTGGCTATGGGGACCAAGAGGAGAGCCGATACGGCGAGGAGAGCGACCAGGAGCGGAGAGGCTTGCCACATGTTGCCGCACTCTCCTCGAGCTAGTCCATCGTTAGACTGGGCACTGTCGCTATATTGATCCCTCCGCCCCGCCCGCATCCCCTCCCCTTCCACCCTTCCCGCCCCTCCTCTCCCCTCTTACACATACACATATGTGTCTATATTCATTGTTAAATATACATTATTAACACTTTGACACTCGTAAAAAAGTCCCAAGTTTATTACCTGGCCGGTTGTCCAAGACCGCTGAGGAATCGTCAAGCAGAAATGTCAAGTAGGATATACTGCAGAACGCTTCCGGGTCTTTCCGGATGTTTGAATTTCCCGAACGAAAGGATTACATATTTAGCATTTATTTTCCTTGACAGGGCAAATTAAAATGTAATATACTTCAGTAACAAATTATAATATACAATATTTACGATGATGCAGTAGTCGTAGATAGATAAAAAAAAAAACATCGTTTACTTATAAGTAATTTTACTTCAAGTTAAATGGTATAGGTTGGTATTTATAACTTATTTATGATAAACATGACTTGATATTTGCCCTCGTAGTTACCACAACTCGAAATTCCTTAAACAGATCAATTATCTTCGACTGAAATTTGACAGAAGAATGACATGGGGCTCGCATAATAAAACATTTTTTTTCAAGACATTCATAGTTTTTCAAAATTAAAATTAAAACATGTACTTAATACCATTACCGAAAATATAAATCCGCAGTAATCGATCAAACAAACGAAAAACCACCACCAATACACATAAACGACGTTCAAAATTATCAGGCATTAGTCCTATTCCTTGAAAACAATTCAGCTCCAAATTATTTTTTTCTGAAAACAACTATCAAAGGTGTAAAAGTTTACCCGAAAACACCTGACGTATACAGTAAACTAGTGAGTAGTCTTAGAAATGGAGGTGCTGAATTCCACACATATCAGCTACCTGAGGACAAAAATAGAAGAATTGTTATTAAAAATTTGCACCACACCACCCCAATCTCTGAAATTAAAAATGATTTAGAAAAACATGGTTACATTGCAACAAACATCACAAATGTATACTCTCGATTCAAAAAACCTTTGCCCATGTTTTTCATAGACATAACAAAGGCTACTTTCAATGAAAAAATATTATGAAATTGAATCAATTTATTATACAAAAATTGTTGTAGAGGAGCCTCGAAAAAAAAGAATTATACCTCAGTGTATAAGATGCCAACAATATGGTCATGCAAAATCATATTGCAACCATTCTCCACGATGTGTTAAATGTGGCCAAGGCCACGAAAGTGTATCCTGCTTAATGACCAGGGAGACAAAGGCAACCTGCGCAAACTGCCTTGGAGACCATCCGCCCAACTACCGAGGATGCCAAGTCCTGAAGGATCTGAGGGCGTATAGGACAACAGCAAGAACTAACCATCCTCCTAGATCCCCACCTCTCCCTCCACCACCAAGTTTCGAAGAATTTCCGACTCTTTAGCAGCCCTTGCGAAAAGAGCAGCCGATACAAAAAAATTCTTCGCAGAAGGCTACGCCAGCTCAGCTGCAGGAACCATCAAGAAACCAGATGACAAGAAGAGATAATGCTACTACATCTGCTCACATCAAACCATCATGTTCAGGTATGAGGCGGAAACTACTCAGCAGCCACCTTCAGCTGAAAATAATGCCCCACCTCAATTGCTCCAATTACTCAATGGTTTAAACTCCCTCATACAGCCCCTTTTTAATATCCTCCAACAGCTTGCACAGGTGACTCAAGCCATGTATCCACAAAATGGCCGCTAATCAGCTGACTGCAGGCTCTTTGTCCATCCTTCTGTGGAATGCAAATGGACTGGCACAACACAAAACTGAACTGGACTTTTATCTTCATGAAAAACGTATAGATGTAGCCCTGATAACGGAAACTCACCTTACACCACGATCAAAATTCGGTATTTCTTGCTATGTGACACACAGGACAGACCACTCCGACAACACTGCCCACGGCGGCACTGCTATACTTATAAGATCTGCTTTATCACGCAACCATTTACACTTACCAACTACACCTGACATTCAGTCCACAGGCATCACACTATACATGAAACACAACACATTGACACTAGCTTCCATCTATTGTCCTCCAAGATATGTGCTGACATCTTCGATGTTTTGCAACTTCTTCCAAAGCTTAGGTCGATGTTTCATAGCAGGTGGTGACTTCAACGCAAAGCACCAACATTGGGGGTCACGACTATGCACACCAAGAGGAAGAAATTTGAAGGCTGCTGTCCACGAGCTTTCATTAGACACTATAAATCCTGACACACCGACATACTGGCCTGTATCGAGACTCAAATCCCCGGACCTTTTGGACTTCTTTATTACAAAAGGACTGCGTACTGTACATCATTCCATAAGTACGAGCTCTGATCTTTGCTCTGATCATTCAGCGGTACACCTTATTGTACTCGATGAGGCCGTCAACGTGCAAAAAATACCAGCTCTCATCAAAGGACCAATTGACTGGGATGCATATAGAGAGTTTTTAAACACTTCGCTTTTGATCCGAGTGTCCATAAAAGGTGAAAAAGAACTGGAGGAGGCTGTGGAAACATTTACCAAAAATATTCAACAAGCTAATTGGACATCATCAATACCAAAATTCAACTCTGCGACAACTGAGCACTTGCCGAAATATCCTCAGTACATAAGGGACTTAATCAGAGCAAAGAGAAGAGCGCGTAAAATATGGCAGACTGGCAGACACCCTTCAGATAGACATACATTTAACCGACTAAACAATCAATTTAAAAGAGAAATCCAAAAATTTAACACGACTAACTATGACGCATACATCAGTGGTCTTTCGACTGACGATGGAAGCTTGTGGAAGCATACCAAAAAGTTGTTAAAGCACCGGGAGCTGTCAGCACCACTTAGAAAAGAAGATGGATCCTGGGCCGTGTCGGATGAGGAAAAATCTGAACTCTTCGCTCACCACCTTTCTTCTGTATTTAAACCGTTTACAAACTTCACTAACACAGAACATGAGACTATAGTACTTAACACATTAGACATCCCACTTCAGCTGACACTACCACCTCCTTCTTTTACTCCATCTCAGATTGCACTTCAAATCAAACAATTACCGAAAAGAAAAGCTCCTGGTTATGACTTAATAACAGCCGAAGCACTCCAACAAATGCCCAAGAAAGCTCTAGTATTTCTGACAACAATTTACAACTGTTACAATACTAAGGACGTCAAAATTCCCTTTACAATGGAAATACTCACTTATTAAGATGATTCACAAACCCGGTAAAGACATATACAGTCCTTCATCCTACAGACCCATTAGCCTCCTTCCTATATGCTCTAAAGTTTTTGAAAAATTAATATACAAAAGACTTGTTGACATATTGACTGACCAACAGGTAATACCTGACCACCAATTCGGCTTTCGCACATTCCATTCGACGACACATCAATTGCACAGAGTTACAGACTATATTGCTGGAGCTTTAGAACAAAAACTATATGCAACTGGAGTATTTTTGGATGTTGCTCAGGCGTTTGATAGAGTCTGGCACCAGGGTCTTCTCTTTAAACTTAAGACTATACTTCCATACACGTACTATCTTATCCTTCAATCTTTCCTCTTCGACAGATTTTTTTCAGTTCGGCAGGGCTCGGATGTGTCTTCAGTCGGTCCAATCTTAGCCGGAGTTTCCCAAGGTTCAATACTAGCCCCTCTACATTACGTTATATACACTTACGATATACCTATTGACCTACCTATGAGATCTTGACAGCTACATATGCAGACGATACAACAATCCTCACAAAACATCAAGACCCTACACAGGCCTCACTAACTCTACAACATCATTTGCTTAAACTACAAGATTGGTTCACACTATGGAAAATTCGACTTAATCATGACAAATCCAAACATATAACATTTACTCTTCGAAAAAACACCTGTCCTCCAGTTTATATTGACAACAATCAAATTCCTCAAACGGACACGGTACTTTACCTTGGACTCACCTTCGACAGAAGGATGACATGGGGCCCACATGTTAAAATGAAACGCATGACACTTAACAAACGACTCAAACTACTTTACTCTCTTTTTGCCAAATCTTCAAAACTAAAACTAAAACAGAAACTGAATACATATACATACTTACTTAAGCCCATATGGACATACTCATCACAAATATACGGCATCGCTAAAAAGACCCACCTACAAAAACTTCAAACGTTCCAATCAAAATTATTGCGACTCATAACAAAAGCACCTTGGTACGTGACTAACAAAACTCTACATACTGACCTCCACTTTCCAACAGTTGACCAACATATAACGACCCTATATCAACGATTTTACACAAATTTAAATGGACATAATAACAGACTTATAAGAGACATGGCCACAGCTGACATACCTCAGAACATGAGCAGGAGACTAAAAAGGCGTTGGATGAGGGATCTCCTTCCTTAGACAACCTAAGTAATTGGAACAAGTTAGGGAAGAGGTACTGCTGAGTACTTTCCTTCCCCATGTCTGTCATGTCATTATATCATTATCGCTATCACATTTGCTGATTGTCAACTTATTGTTGACAGGCGCAAATACATATTTTATAGACAAAAAAAAAAAATTAAAACAGGAACTGAACACATACTGAAGCCCATTCGGACCTTTGCTTTGTGTTGACAGCCAAAAATACGTAAATTACGAATAAAACTTTCAGAACTATTATGGTCAGGTCCATGATAAAACACAAGCAATACTTTACATAAAGGTCTTTACATGTCTTGTAACTTACATGCCTTTCGGCAGTACTGGATTTGGCGTGGGTAATGTAATAAATAAGACATTGTCAATAGGTTTACTGTTGTTCTTGAAGTTCATACCTTCTGGGGTTTTGTACATTGTGGATTGTTCCTTCTGCAGCCTCTCGCCTTCGCCTAGGGTCTCCAAGGTTGAAGTGTTCCGGCCCGACTATAATCTTCCACCCATAACGAACTTTTCCAAGTAAGAGTAGTTCTTTTCTTCCATGAGAAGGAGGAAATAACTTTCAGTGATAAAATA